GGAGGCAGCCAGTCTCAGCAGGTGACTCTCTGGGGGGGGCAAGGAGGGAGGGACCCCCTCCCCCACCTGACTCCTGCTGCTCAGTGTTGCCCTTGGCAGGCCAAAGCCCCCCCAAAAGGCTGTGCGGAGCCTCCCTGGGGCTGGGCTGGGAGCCCGGACACCTGGGTTCCCGTTCTGGCTCTCATCAGGGAGCCCCAGGCGCCGACCCCCGCCAGCTCCTCTCGGCCCCCCACCCCTGTCCCGAGGTCCAAGCGGCTGCATCAGCTGCATGACAGTGGTATCAGGCTAACGGGCTCCTCCTGTGCCAAGGTGGGCCCTGATGCCCCTGCTTGGACCCGCGCGCTGGTCTCCGGTCGCCTGATTGCAGCTGTAATCTCATCTCTTGCAAATTGCTGCCACTTTCCCGGGCGAGCGCCAGAGCAATTGCCACAAGGACGTGCCGACGACAGTCGGGGGGGCAATGGCTTCAGCCCCCTGCCCCCAAAACCCCCTTCTCCACCATGTCGGGCTCTGAGACTGGCCCTGGGTGCCCCGCCTGCCCCCCCCTGCGACCCATCCCTGCTTCACCCTGGCCCAGCCCGTCGATTGTCCCTGGGACGCAGTTGGAGCTGGCGGATGATGATGATAACTATGATGAGGCCCCAGCCAGGCTGGATTGTGCTGTTCCCATCAAGCGCTGGCAATGCGGATGCCGTGTCCCTCTCCACCACGGCCGCTAATGACAAGTAGGAGCTTCAAGCGCCATGGTACGTGTGTGTCGTGACTCTGACTGAGCTTCTTTCTCTCCAGGCCTCAGTTTTCCCCAGCTGTGAAATGGCTGCGGGCTCCAGTGACAAGCAGCTGCTGGGGGAAGAGGCAGGGGGGCCAGGCAGTGCCCAGCACAAGGGGCGCTGGTTCAGGTTGGGGGTGTCTATGCAGCCCCTGGCACAGAGGAACCCAGGGTGGGGGTGTCCGTGCCAGCCTCTGACACAGCTGTGATGTGCTAGCGGTCCTGTGCCCAGGATTGCAGCTGTTGGAGCCCCCAGCCATGGGCAGAGGGGTCAGTTCGGGGCGGGGGGCTCTGCGCTCAGTGCAGCTGGGGGTGTCGTAGGAGGGTCCGTCTGCTGGGCACGGGGCGATAAACAGCAGCTGTGGCCCCTATCCAGGCTCACATTTGCCAGCCCCTGCTGAGCTGAGATGAAGCAGCTGCACCCCCGCCTCGCCCGCTCGCTGCCTCAGTTTCCCCTGAGACCTCTGGGAGGAGCCATGCCAGGAGTTGGGAGCCGAGGGGCGGGGGGTGCTGTGCCTGGCCTGGGCCCCACGTGCCAGCAGCTCGGCGCTGGGGTGGCTGAGTCACACCACCCGCTCCAGGCCCTGGCTCCAGTGCCAGCTGCCGGTGCCCAGCCAAGAGTGCACAGCTGAGGATGAGCTGCGCGGTGCCTGCAGTGACAGCTGGCTTCTCAGCCAGAAAGGTCATGTGCACACATACATGGGGGGGCGGGGGGGAGGCAGGGGGCACACAGCAGCCTCCTGGCCCTGGAGAGGAGTGAGGGGTTGGGGGGTGTTGAACCTCCATCAGGGGCCTTTGGGACTCAGTTGCCCCCATCCCACAGTTGCTTGCTGGGGTGACTCTCCAGCCCGGGGCCAGATACCAGGCCCTGGTGTTTGCACTAGCAGCGCTTGTGCAAGGTTGCAGGTGGCTTCAGGCTCTCTGCAAACTCCAGCAGGTGCAGGGGGCTGGTGTGGGACTTGGGGGGTGCAGGAGTTCTGCATCACCTGCACCCGCCATGGTCCAAAGTGCTCCCCCACCCCATCCCCCCCACCCTCCAGCTGCAGCAGCTCCATGGGGACCTGCCCGTGCCAGGCCCCGGCAACTGCAGCAGGGACCACTAGCCCAGCTGGTTAATTAAAGCGCCCACATGTTTGGCCTGGGCCTCTGGACCCCTGTCCCCACCCCTATGGCCGTGGCACGCGTGGCTGCATGGGCTCCTCCCGTGCTCTTCCTGGCCGCCCCCGTCCTTGCAGCAGGCGGGGGCCGTGCCGCAAAGTGACGCAGCGCATTCCCGGGGCCCAGCTGGGGTTGGGGGTGGGGGGTCCCTGGGGACCTGCTCCCGTCACGGCACTGACATGTCCTATCACACCCAGGCCCACTCGCACGGTGGCTCCTGGCATAAGCAGCATGCGACAGCGCATGGGGAAGGGGGCCTTTGGGGGCTTGGGGCCTCATTCGTGCCCTCCCTGCCCAGGTCTGGGCTTGTCACCACCGCAGTTCGGGGCTGACGGATGCAGCTGGAGCTGCCATGGCTCCGGCACGTGTCACCTCCCACGCGCCCACGCGCCAGCAGCAAGAGAGGGCGGCGAGGAGCCCCCCGGGAGCACCTTACCCCCTTCCCCGCCCTCTGCCTCCTGCCATGTGAGCTTGCTGCTGTCCTGGGCCCTGGCACCGGGTGTCAGGCCTTTCTGCAAGCTAGCACCCAGCACCCCTGCTTCTCTGTCGGACACTTCCAGCTCCCACGTGGCCTGGGACCTTTGAGGCACCTCGTGCTGCCGCGTCTCACCCCCCCCCCCCCCCCACGCACGGGCGGGAGAGGGGGGGAGGTG